AATCGATTTAAGAATTGAAAGGATTTCTAATGTTTATGTTATGTTTGGGAATTTTACAGACGCTTTTTTCCAAGGCAGAAATATATACATGTGTTTCTCGTAGTCTGGGATTTGAACCCATGACCACATGACAGGTTGGGATACTGACCACTATACTAATCAAGTATAAGCAAAAAGAGGAGCCATATACCGTTTTCATTCATCAGCGTGTGGTCATGCGGAGGCCGTATGGCCCGGAGGGATCCAGTACCCAGAGCCCAGTCAAAATTGTCGGCCAGAGAGCTTTTCCAGCCACAGCGGCCGTTCTCGAAGGAGCAGGAAGTCCCACAATCCTCTTCATCCGTGCCGTCGCCGCAGTCGTCCGTGAAGTCGCAGCTCTGCTCCGGAGAGAAGCACCCGCCGTTCCCACAGAGCCGGGAGCCCAAAGGACACGGCCCTGCGGAAAAACACGGGACATGAGTTCACAACCAGGGCTGAATCAGGCTGGCTCTGACCCCAGGGCTGCTGAAAAACTGCTGACTCATGTTTAAAGGGGACATGTTATACCCTATTTCAGCATATAGCAATAGGGTAGCATAGAACTCATCCAATCTAATTCCAGCCAAAGCACAATACGTATGACGGAGCTACTTTGTAGTCGCTGGACCACAGTGTTGAAGAGGTGTTTCTGTACAGAAAGAAGGTCCCTGGTTCGAATCCCATCTGTGTGGGTTGCTCTCCCGGCAAACTTTTCTTCTTTAATCAAGTAGTTTTTTCCCTTCCGTGTTTAACATTAAAGGAGACATATTATACCCTATTTCAACAAGTTAAACTAGTTCCCTGGTGTCCTAATGTAATGTCTGTGACAAGCTTTTGGTCAAAATCCCATAAGGATGAAGCCCAATAGCAGTTCAGTCCCCCTGCCAAAACAGCCCCGTTCAGAGCGCTCGCTTTGGAGTGCCTGAAGTTATTTACAAAAGAACAATAATTCCCATCAAGAACAAGCACTAGGCGACACAGGGAAGGAAAAACTTCCTTTTAAGAGGCAGAAACCTGGAGCAGAACCATGGTCTGTCTCTTTAAATGCAAATGAGACACAGGCAATCCACCCACTTCTTCCGGGAGGTGTGCCCACGTCGGCACGCTAACGCTAGCATGCTAACGCTACCATGCTAACGCTACAATGCTAACGCTCACGCTACCAGGACGTCTGCCACAGATAGGGGAGTAAGCTGAGGGGGGGGGCAACATGCAGGTGAAAGGCTGGAATATTATAATGAGCTAGAGCTAATGACGTCAGAAACTACCCACTCCTGAAACCTCCTGATTTATCTCCTGGATTCAGACTGAGGCGGCCCACAAAAACATGAACGAGTCATTTATTTTCACACTTTGCCTGCTGATAGGCCCTCCACAGTCCCAAATGTACATAATCAAATGATTAAAAACTTGGTTTTGCATATTATGTCCCCTTTAAAGCATTTCAGTCCAGACAGGGTTCCTCAGGGTCCCAATAGAAGCATCGATGGTGAACAATTTCCCATTTGAAGCTTATTTGCTCCAAGCTTCTTGAGGATAATGATACTATTATAATCGTTTTAGGTCTATTTACTCATTCAAGAAGTAGCTGAACACATGGAGCTGCAAACTAGAATTTCAACACTTTTGTTTTGCATTTAAAGGAAGTGACAATGTGATAATTACTGACAGATAATCACAGTGATTGTGTGCCAACATTTAACAAAACATATCCAGGGTGGTGCTTTTTTCAGCTTTTTTTCAGCAGAATGATAGCTAACACGCTTTTTTTACACCAGTCAGACTGTTCCCGTAAGATGGGAACTATGTGTACAAATTCGACAAATTTTCCCTGTCAAACAACTGTGTGTTCTGCCAGATTAAATACCACAACACAAGTTGAGTGTCAACTGCTGAGTAGGAGGACCATTTGCATGCAGCATCGGGGTCTCTTTAAGAGGCTTATGGAAAACAAAAGGAGCCCAAGCCTGTGAACCCAGATCACTGTATCACTGGCTGAGGGGGTTTTGGTTTTTTGCTTCTTTTTGAGACAAAAATTCCAGTAGGGTCAAAGCCTGGCTTTGGGGAGAGCCAGAATGGGAGATGAGGCGTGATGAAGAGGGGTGGTCCTTGTAATTAAAGCACAGAAAGGGGGTATAAATCCTTCCTAATCCTTTGTTCCTCTCTTCAGAGGCACAGGAGCAGAATCAATGTGCCCCAACAAAGGAACATGGCAGGCCAGGAAGCTACTTCACTGCCCTCTGAAGTCTAGGGAAGGTTTAGTTTTCAAATAAAAGACCCATTTTCACATTTGCAGAATCCAACTTTTAGCACATCAGACACAACCGACCTACAACTATTTATTTCTCAATGTAAACTAAATAATTTATCCTTATTAATGACATATTATCTAACATGGGTAACAGCCGAGAGGAACACTGCCCCCTGGTGCATGGATAATGCACATCCACATTTTATAAAATTAAATGATTCTTATCAGAGAAATTACTTTTTCTTTGCTGTTAATGTCTAACCTAATTTCTAAAGATTGTATAAGAACAGTTCAGGCATCAAGGCTTTCCACAATTAACTATCCAGGCAACTTTTTTTAACTTTAGAGGACGCGAGAGAGTGACGTGAGCTTTTGTTCAGGTCCACTTTAAAGGAATATGAACAAATCTTAACCCTCTAAAGCCTGATCCAAGAATAAAACAAAACAGAAAATTACTTTTTTTTTGTTTGAATTCCTTATTTGGCCTTGATAAGTCAAGATTATTTTTTGTGTAGTCTTCTGCCCCCTGTTATCAGGTGTATCTGATTGTGTACAATAGGATTTTGAGCATTTTTTTTACCGTTAAATTATGCAAAAGGTGTCAGACGCAAAACAGAAACCGTATGAATCAAATATGATACATTTGGCACTATAGGGTTAATCAAGATATTAAGAAATGATGGGTACATTAAAATGAAGCAGAAGCAGTTCCTGCTCTGTGGTCTAATCGGGGTTATTTTTCATGCTCTGCAGGTTCTTTCCACCTTTTTGTTAACGGCAGGATGAAGCCCACTTACTGTGAGGGCAGTTAGATTCAAACTTTAAGCAATACTTCACACTTCTCCATTCTCTGGAGTCAATTTCACCTCTAATAAACTCACCCACCCTCATTTATTTATTCCAAAAATGTTATTTTCCTGCTCTTATATATATATATATATATATATATATATATATATATATTTGATCCACCTGGTACTTTCAGTCCAAAGAACACACTGGATTATTCACCAACTGCAGGAGTAACTACATTTTCTAACTTTCTTATTAAAGTTGCACTTTAATAAGGAAGTTTCCTGCACTCCTTTTTAAAATATTCATCTTCGGTGTTTTTACAGAAGGCAAAATGTTTAATGGTGGACATCTTGTGTAACCAGTCTGAAATAACAGTTTCCAAGCAAAGAGTGCAGTTGACTTTAGGTCCGACTCTTCCTCTGGTGGAACAAATATCCATTAACTCGACTGCCTGAGTTGTCAATTCACGGGACTTCTGCTGCACACCGGTGGCTGATCGATGATCATTTTCCACTGGAGATTAATCAGCGCGAGCAGGCTTTAATACTGAGAGGCTCCAGATGCGGGAACGGTGAGAGGTGATAAACGGAGCTGTGTGACGACTATCATGCATCACCCTGCAGCTGAAGAGGCCTTTTTGTGTTAACCCTTTAAAGCCTGATCCAAGAAAAATAGGAAGATTATTGGATTTTTTTTAGTCTGAAGTCTTTCTTTGGCCCCTCGACAACTTATGAAGAAAAAAAACAGAAATTATTTTGATCAAATTAGCATGCAATAAGTCAAAAATGTATTTTGGTGTAGTCTTCTACTGGCTGTTATCAGGTATATCTGAATGTGTACAACAGGGGTTTGAGCAAAGCTTTTACCACTGAATGATGCAAAAAGTCTCAGATCCAAAAGACTTCAGAAACCGGATTAGATATGACACATTTGGCATTATAGGGTTAAAGTTTCTTCTCTCTCTGCTGAAAAACAAGCGATTCTCTCTTCTCCACAGAGGGGAAGAACAAGCTCATTATACGCAGTGACAAAGGCAGCAAATCAGCTCTTATTTGTGCCTTTTAGTCTTTAGAGTGCCCCTAAAAACAGTGAATATAAAAGATATCTAACAGCTGAAATCCTGAGAAAAGGCAAAGATACAAAAAATGATGATCCAGCATCCTGGCTAATGCCATGCTAAACTCATATTTAACAGCATTTTACTTAATATTTAAACTTATCAACAAAAGATGGGAAACTGACACATGTTTTGGGCTGTCAGTACACATTAGTTCAGTTTTATTTTAAGGTTAATCATGAAAAATAGCATTCTCCTTTCTTTATGAGCTGCCGATTAGTAGTGATATCTTTCATAAATCAGGAAAATATTTACATTTAACAGTCACCCGCAGCTACATGTGTTAAAATGTGATGAAATTATGCTAAAAGGAAACAGCTGTGCAGCCTCTAAATGACAATAAGAAAAAGGGAATAAAGCCTGTGACACTGTGGGATTTTAAGAGCATTATAAATGCCCAGGTCTGTCTAAAGCAGCAATAAAACAACCAAATCTTCCCGTTTTCTCCTTAAACGTGCATGTGCAGCCTTCAGGAAGCTTTTAACTGGGATTTCTTCCAGGGTGAAGACAGTGGGTTTAACCAACCACTACGAAAAGTTGTTTGGTTCCTATTTCCAGCCAAAGGTCAGCGCTGGCTGGATTTTATTGGACCGTATAAAGAATAGACTCTCGTCACAGAAGCCCAGGTGGGATTAACGATGCTGACCGGTGACACCTGTGGTGCACCTGTGCCCACATGTCTGCTGTAAAAGTGTCTGAAAATTTAACCCCAGTTTGAGAAACGCCATTTTTGTTCGGGACAAAATCGGCTAAATGTGCTGTTCTCCGAATCTCTGGTATTTTATTGAGAACTGAAGGTGGAAAATGGGTCTGAGGGAATAACGTGGCACATTTCCTGCCAACTTTGACGTGTAGAAAACACAAGCAAAATCAAAGTGTACCGCTTTTTTCTCCATGAAAATGTTGACGAAATGTTCAATTGTTAGATTACAGGATGAGACTTGTCACACGTCACTATCAGTACTTTAATAAAAATGTTTAATCCATCTATCGACTTCATTTTTGCATAAATTGTTTTATTTTGAGAGTGCTTTTAGTTACTGCTATTAGCTTTGTAGAAAAGTCAGTTAGATAATTGCCTAGCTATATATTCTCTAGTCATAATGAATGAAGACACTAAATGTGATAATAAACCATACATTAGGTTTTTTCTGGGAATTTTCTCTCTGAATCTCTGGTATTTTATTCAGAACTGAAGGTGGAAAATGGGTCTGAGGGAATAAAGTGGCACGTTTCCTGCTGTTTGCTTTTAAATATAAAACACAAGCAAAATCAAAGTGTACATCTTTTTTCTCCAATGATGAAAAGTTAGATTACACTATCAGTGCTTTAATAAAAATGTTTAATCCATCTATCGACTTCATTTTTGCATAAATTGTTTTATTTTGTGTGTGCTTTTAGTGACTGCTATTAGCTTTGTAGAAAAGTCAGTTAGATAATTGCCTAGCTATATATTCTCTAGGCATAATGAATGAAGACACTAAATGTGATAATAAACCATATATTAGTTTTTTTCTGGGAATTTTCTCTCTGAATCTCTGGTATTTTATTCAGAACTGAAGATGGAAAATGGGTCTGAGGGAATAAAGTGGCACATTTCCTGCCACCTTTGACCATTTTGCTTTTAAATAGAAAAAACAAAATCAAAAGTAAAGTGTACAGCTTTTTTGTCCAATGATGAAAAGTTAGATTACAGGATCAGGCTTGTCACACTTCACTATCAGTGCTTTAATATAAATGTTTAATCCATCTATCAACTTCATTTTTGCATAAATTGTTTTATTTTGAGAGTGCTTTTAGTTACTGCTATTAGCTTTGTAGAAAAGTCAGTTAGATAATTGCCTAGCTATATATTCTCTTGGCATAATGAATGAAGACACTAAATGTGATAATAAACCATACATTAGGGTTTTTTCAGGGAATTTTCCCTCTGAATGATATAGGAACAGACTCCCACAGGTTCACTGCCATGCTAAAAAAGGTAATATGCATTAAGAAAATCAATATGTACACTGAGTAAGATTTCAATTAACTCATTGGCTGCCAAAGACGTCTATAAACGTCTTTTATGTTTTTCAACTCGAGTTGCTTGGGGGACGATCTGCTAAAGCTTGTCCGTAAATATCAGGCTTCTAGACAGAGTATGTAGTAACAAATTGACCCTCTAGGGGGCAGTGTCACTTTTGATGGGAGATGAGCATAGACTGTAGGCAAATAAGAAAAAGCTAACGGTTCGCTATGAGAGAACATGTCGCCGGTGAGACGCACGTCGAGGAAAAACGGAATAAGGTAGAAACAAATATATTTTTCCTGATGAAAGAAGAGAGTCTACTCTTTCTTTTGGTGTGTTCGGTGTTTACATAGTCATAGCACAAACTATTCTGTGGCTCTTGAAAAATCAGTCAAAATGCTCAAAAGACTCTGGCAGTATGGACTCTCTGTTCTGAAAATGGCTGCCAGTCAATGAGTTAATGTGATTTATGACGTACCCAATAAGTCTCAAGAGAGAAAACCTGGCAAAAGACAGCAATTATACATAAAATCTGCTTAAAATCAGTGTTGAATGGCCTGTACCTGCAGTAGGAGAGAGGCTGGTGTCTGTGTTGGTGGCTAAAGGGGCCAGAAGGCACCCGGGGGAGAAGCTGATGTCGTCCAGGCAGATGTCGCCCTTTTCTGTTCGGCCCACCCGGCCCTCCAGCAGCACCCGGAAGTCCTCGGGGCTGCTGAGCGGGAGCTCCTTCATCTGCCAGAAGTTTCCCTGATCTCCGGTCAGGTTCAGCCGGAGGTGGAGCCCGCCTTTGGTTTGGGTGAAAACGCTCAGGGTCCCGATACCGTCCCCAGACATGTGGAGATAGAAACGCATCTGGAAGCAAAACACAAGGCCGATCATCACTTACAAAGCTAATTATCCCTATTTGTATCAGAGCATTTTGGGGAAATTGTACATCGCTAAAATCAGAATTTATCCCTGTAATGCCAAATGTATCATATTTGTTACATACGGTTTCTGAAATGTTTTGCGTCTGACTCCTTTTGCATAATTTAATGGTAAAAACTTTGCTCAAAATCCTATTGTACACAATCAGATACACCTGATAACAGGGGGCAGAAGACTACACAAAAAATAATCTTGACTTATCGCATAGTAATAAATTATTAATATTAAAAATGTATTTCCATTTTTTCTTTTTACATATTTTGTTAAAAGGCC